TTTTTGCCCTCAATACTGCTATTATTTTCTACATTTTTCTGCATTAATTTTTCATGTGAGACGATCATTCGGGTTCTTAGAGTATGTTCGCATGTAAATAGTTTGTAGTGATGCTACTATTTACTGTTGATCATTTTATCCTAGGAGATAGGCGTCCAAAATCTGAAAGCACCGTGAAAAGGACAAATCTGTCTTAAGGACACAGTGTTAAACACTGGACTTGATCAAAACTTTGTTCGAGAAATTAATTAGGTAAGTAATTAATTTACTTGTTGTTTTATTTTATTTCATTTACTGGTTTAATTTTTGTAATCAAACAGTCTCTTTTTCGTTTAATTCTTTGAATACTTTGAAGATTGACCAACAAAATCAACAACAAGGAGTTCACAAGCACTCGAATCTTCAAGATCGTCAAAAACCCATAACCAATTTTCAAGATCATCATCCTCTTCTCTCTTCTCTCACCTCGCTATGGTTGAGCTGAAGCAAAGAATCCTCACTTTTCTCTCTGAGCTCCTCGATAGAGACACCCATCAGATCATCGTTGAAGACCTCGAAAAGATCATCCAAAACCTCTACCAACAATCGAAAACCCAACATCCTCAAGCTCCTCTACGTGCCGCTTTGCTGCAAGACCTTCTCCACTGTCCTCAACCCTTTCTGTCGTGTCAACTTTGCTGCCCTTATCTGGATCTATCATTTTTGCTTCGGTGCCATCACCACAACTCGAAAGGATCTCGATGTGAAACCGAAGCTCTGAGCAAAAAAACAACATAGTAGCATCTGTGGGCTCGATGGTCATCTCTCTGATTTTGGCCTCCTCTTCAGTGGTGGGTAACGCCAAAGGGATTGATGGCGGAAAATGTGAGGTTGGCAGTAGTGATGGGATCGTCGGGGTGGTGGGTGACGCCGAAGGGATTGGTGGCGGATCTGTAGATCTGAGCAGAGATAAGATAAAGAGAGAGAAGAGGTTGAAGTAGTTGGAGAGAAAAGAGAGAAGGAAGTGAGAGATGATCAATTTCAACAGATTAAGGGTTTGTTTGGGAAGTGTGTTAGCTTTTTGACTTTTGTGGCTATTTTAGCCTGGGCTAAAAAGCTTGGTTTGGGAAGGACTTTTTGACTTTTTGGTTTTTTTGGCTTTTTTTTACGAGAGAAGAGTGTAATAATTATGGATTAGATGTAATGTTTTGTTTGTTGTAGCCAAATAGCTTATTTTGTCTTTTGTGATTAAAATAGCCAAAAAATTCCATAAACCATCTTCCCAAACGGAGCTCAAGACGGACGTTTGGGACTATCCTTATAAACTTAACAATGCGTTTATGGACTGAATAATTTAGCGCGTGGGATTTTGAGTAATAAAAATTCAAAGTTGGACTTATGATTGAGTGCCCTATATATTATAGTTATTATTTTAAGGAATTATTTTTCTCAATTTGATTATGCACTAAGGTCTTAATTGAGAATATGTTATTTTAGTAATTTTTATTTTTTTCACTATAGAGGAAAAAAAACTAGTATATTTCAAATGATTGTTTTGGCTTTTTATAGACCCAAAAATAAATAAATAAATAAATAAGTAGAGAGAAAATTGAATTTTTAAATTTTTTGTATAGTTTATTGATTTTTTAATTTTTTTTAGTAATTTTTTGACTTTTAGGATAGAATCAACACTTCCCAAACAAGGCCTAAGGACAAGTTTGACAATAGGTTATTTTGGCCCCGTTTGGTAGACCTGTGGGAAAGTGATTATAACTTATAGCCTAACAGCTTGTAGCTTATAGATGTGAACATAAGCTGATTTTTTACTTATAAATTAAGTTTTTCCTCCTCCACTCAAAGAATAAGTTGATTTTTGACTTACAAAAAGTTATAAGTTGTATTGTTAAGCTGAACCAAACATATCAAAATAGTTTAAATTAAATTAAAAGCTAAAATAAACTGAAAATAAGTCCTACCAAACATGACCTTTATCCCAAAAGTGAAAAGATAACTTTCAAAAGTCAAGTTTTCTTTATACTGTAAAAAGTAAAAAAAAATTCAAAAAAAAAAAACTAAAATAATCAATTTTCAAAATAACCTTAAATATAGAGGAAGTTACTAAAAATTTATCAGTTTTGTTATTTAGAGAGGGAAAAATTGGTGAACCCAAGGGGAAAATTTGTAAATAAAATAATAATAATAATAATAATAATAATAATAATCTTTTTAAAATTAAGAAGAGAAAGTGAAAGAATTTGTGAAAATAAACTCTCTTCCTTTCTTCTCTCCCAAATTAACCAATTTTTTTTATTATTTTTTTATTGAAGAAAGTTTGTGTAGTTAGTTCGTTAGATTAGTACCAGAGACCCTTGAACTCACACTCTCTCCTTGCAACCACTAATACTCTGTTTGGATCGTAGGGTGAGAAAATAAATGAAATGATTGTCGTCTCTCATCTAGGTGAGAAAAGAAATGAAATGATTGTGTTTTCTCACCGTGTTTAAATGAGTGAGAACGCAAAGGATATGAAAAAGGGATATGCGTGAGATTTTTTTTTCTTCCTTTGTATTTGAAGAGGCAATCTTATAAATCAAATGTCATAAAAGAGTTTTTTTTCACATCATTTCTTATCATTTTTCACCAAATTGCCGTATCCAAATAGGTCATGTTTGATTCACAAGATTAATAGTGAAATATTAATAATCATATTAAATTAGTATGGTATTCACTATCCAATTGGATTAATATCCATTAGATTAATAATCTCACCCCTATCCCATTACTAATAATCCTACAAATTTGTTAGATTAATTATCCGTTGGATTAATAATCCTAAACCAAAATGTTAAAATAATTGGACCCACGGATTAATAATCTCAATCCCATACTCTAATCCACCCAATCAAACATGTCATATGTTTGATTCACAAGATTAATAGTGAAGTATTAATAATCCTATTAAATCAGTGTGGTATTCACTATCCAATTGGATTAATATCCATTGGATTAATAATCTCATCTCTACCCCATTATTAATAATTCTATAAATTTGTTAGATTAATTATCCATTGGATTAATAATCTTAAATCAAAATGTTCAAACAAACATAGAATAATTGGACTCACGAATTAGTAATCTCAATCACATTCTCTAATCTACCCAATCAAACATGCCTATAGAGTACAAGGCTTGCCTTCTATTACAACCCAAGACTTCCTTTTAAGCGAGACTTGTAGCCAAAGGACTAGCCACATGCCAAATTAACCGATGTTGAAAGAGAATTTAAAAAGGAAACGAATAATAATAATAATGAGGTTGAAGGAGTTATTATTATTAAGAGGCTTGCTTGGTTTTGAGCCAAAGAAAAAAACACATACACAATAGTATAAAGTATTGATAGTATAGAGAAAAACTGTATTAGAAAATGTATGTAGAAAATTATGAACCTATCATTTAATAAAATTAAAAAAAAAAAATCATCAATTATTTTAAGAAGTAAATTAAAAATTAATTTTTTAACTTTTTATAAGAAAAAACGTGTAAAAAAATAAAGAGATAATTTGACCTAAAATAATTTAAAAAATGACTTTTAACCTAATTGTCAAAATATATTTGTCATCGAGTGATCATTCATGTGAATAATTTTTGTATGAAAAATTTAGAAAAATAGTATTTTCTTATCATGTATTATGAAATCAAGTCAAGATCCTCACAAAATACAAACATATATAAACCAAATCAAATCAAACAAAACCAAACCAAGTCTTAAATCCACGTGAGAATCGTAACACGAGAACACCGTTCTCACTTGAACTCTATTGATTTGTAATTAATTTTTACATTTCTTACTTATTTGATATCTTCCCTAATAAATACTGATATTAACTCCTTTCTTTCTTTCTTTTTTTCTTTTTTCTTTTCTTTTTCGTTTTTTGAATTTTGATAATCTAAAGTCTTTAAGTTATTAGGAAGATTCAATGTGAGGGTTTTCCAAATCCAAGTAGGCATAACAATTTAACTTTCATGGTTTTTTCCTTTATTTATTATTATTATTTTGTGTGTCGCATTTCAGTAGGATACAAAAGTTGGGGCAATGGAATCCTACCTAAGAGATGCATCTACAACTAAAGAAAGTCATGCATCAGAGTCTGAGTAAATCTAACAACTCCACGTACACAGCTCATCACCCTCAAACTTGTTCCATACAATGTTGGGATCCAATAATTGATATCAAGTTTTGTTTGGTCATCAAACTTGATCCCTTCATCGCCTTCAGTGACGAGCCTGACTTCAAGAAGTTGGCTCTCTTTCTAAACCAAAGCCAAGGTTTCTGCAATGTCCAGAAAAACCATCGTAAAAAATTCACATAATTCACAACCAGACCTTAATAATGTAACTCTGAAATGCATATTGACTTCACATATAACCAGAATTCCTGAATTGTATTCTATAAATCACTTTCTGCAAAAATTCATATCATAAGGAAAGGTAAGATTGTGGAAAATGCAAGCAAGCTATTGTAAAAAATAATGGTGATCAATCATTGGAAGTCCAGTCATAATAAAATCCCAAAACAGATCCTTCAGTGCTGGTGGATTTTGAGTACTATGCATAATTTCAAAACGCAATGTAAAACACAATGGTAGCATTTAATTACCGTGGGACATCCAAGTGTACCTACTAAGTAGAGATTTAAGTTCAACCAAGATAAGATCAAGCAAGAACACCCGTCTCTGTGCAAGCACAAAAACATTCAGCAGGTAAGAAAATACACAGAGGTAACTTCTTTCACTTGATAACTTGGGAGTTCTAAAATTTCTCAAAGCTAAGGCAAACATCATATTAACAATTCAATGTGACTGAAGTGTCTTATCCAGGCAACAAATTAAACTAATTTCATTTTTTCTTTTAATTTTGCACTTATGACCTTTGTCTTCCTAACGAAATTACGAGTGTTATTTTTGAGAATTACTGATTTCCTTGACATGTACTCCTTAATATTTATATATATAGATTGTGGAAAATGCAAGCAAGCTATTGTAAAAAATAATGGTGATCAATCATTGGAAGTCCAGTCATAATAAAATCCCAAAACAGATCCTTCAGTGCTGGTGGATTTTGAGTACTATGCATAATTTCAAAACGCAATGTAAAACACAATGGTAGCATTTAATTACCGTGGGACATCCAAGTGTACCTACTAAGTAGAGATTTAAGTTCAACCAAGATAAGATCAAGCAAGAACACCCGTCTCTGTGCAAGCACAAAAACATTCAGCAGGTAAGAAAATACACAGAGGTAACTTCTTTCACTTGATAACTTGGGAGTTTTAAAATTTCTCAAAGCTAAGGCAAACATCATATACTCACTTAACAATTCAATGTGGCTGAAGTGTCTTATCCAGGCAACAAATTAAACTAATTTCATTTTTTCTTTTAATTTTGCACTTATGACCTTTTGTCTTCCTAACGAAATTACGAGTGTTATTTTTGAGAATTACTGATTTCCTTGACATGTACACCTTAATATTTATATTAAAAAAAAAAAAAAGTATTCATGAGCTCAATTCTCTGTCTCTTTATTTATTTATTTTTTTGCACCCACATGTTTTACAATTTTTTGGGCCGTTGGTTGAGGAAGAAGGCATAGTTTTGAACTACATACAATGATATACTGTTTAACAGTTTAGCTTTATGGGGTTTCAGCCCTCAACATTCTGCATGTTTTATGACTCCACCGCCCACTCCAAAAAAAAAAGGAAAAAGAAAAAATCTTCATGAATTTTGCATCTTTAAATTATAGGGGCTACAAGATCGATGCTCATTAACACAATCTATCAAGTGGAAACATTACATCAATCAATACATAATGCTTTCCGTTTAATAAAAAGAAAAGCAAGTTGTAACCACCCTCAAGTCAATAGAATATGGTTAAAACTTAAAAGTTGCCAAATACACAAAACATCTACAATCAACAAAACAGTGACAACTTTAGGACAAGAAGGTGATTGTGAATGTTGCTTGAGGCAGCTGCGTAAATCTTTCATCTGACAAAATTTACCCGGTTAGAGCTAATTAGTGAAATATGCTTGCCATTTGCTAAAGCACATCTTGAACTTATCACTTCCTAAAAGTAGGAGGGTAAATAAGAAAATCTGAAGGATGAAAAGCTGCAGACATCTCAATTTTCACTTTGTGAAAGACCTGAAGCACATTTACATACACATTTGATGTTCTATAGCTTACTTATCATTTTTTTTTTCAATTTATATAAGGAAAAAAAAGAAAAGGAGAGGGCATTGCACATGATAAACTTCCACAAACTTCTCAAAGGAATAGACCTAGGAAAGTATTGACCAAGAACTGAGGGGATACACTCTTCCAATTATTAATGACCTTCTTTTATTAACCCCACCGAATGTTTTACCCATTGCAATAGATGAGAGACTTCCCTCTATTCAATGCGGAAAACATTTACGTCTCAACTGCAATAAACTAACACTACTCTCCTTCAATATTTTGTGAAATGAATTGAGGGAGTGAAAATATATCACGCACTTGAGGGAGGATGCCTTGATTTCTCATCCTGGAGAAAAATTCTCATAAAACCAGCAAGCACAATCCCAAATCACAATGAGACAAGGGTACAAAACCAACAATGAACATGATGCCTAACATGCATCAATTAACAATAACCACACCAGTCCTATTTAGGCTACATCACATTGCAGATTATATAAAACATGAGACTTGATATAAGGAGATACTTTGTAATGACAGATGTATTCATGTAAGTGTCATGTGAAACATAATATTCTTCAAGAATTCAGGCACTACTATACTGCTCAATGTTGTAGATTTCCTCCAGTTAACATGGATCAAATATTTTCTTTCCATATGAATGACACAAAAATTCAGTCTTGGAGCCATGAATACAAACAATTATACACATGTTCATATCACAAAGATTCCATGGAAACTTTGGAGTTCACTTGGTCGGTTTTCCAAAACTTGTTTCATTTTTACATTTCATTTCCAACAAATCTCAAAGAAGGTTCGAAAATTTAAGTGCAACTGTTTTGAATTGGTTTCACTCTGTGATTGAACCAAGTTTTGGACATCATAGAAAATTTACTTTCTCATGTCATCTGAACACTTCATATTTTCATTCTTTTCGTAGATACTTTTCAAAACTGCCCCACCAATTGTATTTGTCAATATTCTTACTTCATTTTCATTTCTGAAAACAGAAATAGTTTTTCAATTGAAACAAATAGTCCCTTCTGGTGATAAGTCTAATGAACGTTATCAGTAAAACTGCCAAGGGCCAGGATGTTTACAAACATATTTGACATTTCTGTAATAAATCAAGAAAACATAAGACAATTCAACGAGGTTATATGGACCATCTAGAAAATTTATATGTAAAATATTTTCTATTAATTATTCCTCATTTGCAAGGTCGTCACAACTCAATATGGTATCAACTCAATCTGCCATTGTTTGGTGCAATGGCAACAGCATAAAGTCAAGAGTATGCAAACACAGGTTTGACTGTTCTAGCAACTACTGCATGTAAATAATGATTACAGGTTAGGTTTGCACCAAGCCCACCTCTCACAGAGGTGGGATCAACACTTGGTAAAGTAGCAGATGACAACATTTAGTTTGTAATAGATACTTGAACAACTCTTAGAAATCCACCTTCACAACCTAATGGAATAGAGTGTATGGAAGGTAAAAGAGGCCATTCCTCAATATTGATCTCTTCACTCTAGGTAGTTGTGACGGGTTGAGAATGTCCCAATCCAGCCCTTCAATTTCCATGGAGCGGCTGCCGCCCATAGATCCACACATTCCGAAAAAGTACTTAAATCACCAATTTTTAAGAATTATAGTCTCTATATTTGATCAAAATTCTTCAACTCGATTCCCTTTCCCTTCAACATTTCGAAGCATTCAAATATGTTTGCCCCAAAATCACATCCTACTTGAGGTGAGAGCATACTACTTCAAATACACAGGTCCCAATTTACTTACTCGGACACTATTGTTAACTATCTATGCTATTATTAAGCGAAGGCTAAACTTGGTGTCCAAGCCTACACGTCATGCCACGTGGCAGTTTCTTCTAGCCTAAAATAAAAAGTTTTAGATAGAGGAGGAGAAGGTTTGAATCCAAGATCTTGAGTTTCATTAAGAAAACTCTTACCACTTTGACAACCTACATATTATCATATTAATTTCTTTATTACTTGTTTATATTCTTACTTATTTGAATTGCACCACCCGCTAGTTTGCATTAATCAAACACACACATGTTTCAATTTTCTTGGACACTGTTGTTACAATATGGTCCATACTCAGCTACATATAAATGAAATACATTAAAAATTCAGCATTTTAGGGAAAACAATCAAATCATCAAATTGAGAAACATAATCATAAAGTGATCAAAAAGCGAATTACAGTAGATGAGTGAAAAGGGATCGAAAGGAATGGAGATTACCACTGAGAAGTTGAATTTTGGGCATCAATACTGTTGTACAATCTCGAGAGCCTCCCGCGAGTTGGGGGTTTGGGCTTTGTGTGTTTTTTTCGCAGGCCGAAGATTTCTTGAACCAGAGGAACATGAACCAGAACTAGCTTCCACGCCAAGAACCAACCTGTGTGAAACCCACCATCAAAAACCTCGAATTAGAAGAAATTTCAACAAACCCAGATCATGAAACTGTACATACAAACACATAAACATGTATATGTATTGACGCAAGTATAGAAAGATTCAGATACCGAGGAGAATTAAGGAGAGCACGAAGGAGATGGCGAGAAGGGGACGAAGAAAGAATAGAATGAGATAGTCAAAATGAGAAACATAGAATGTTGAAGATGAAGATGAAGAAGAAGAAGAAGAAGAAGACTCCATTGGCTATCAATTTTTGAATCGATAGATGAAAAAGGGAAATTTTATCATCAATTTTGATGCAAAGCTCTAGGGCCGATTGTAATGTAGGTTGGGTTTCAGAAGAGTGTATTATACAATTAGGAAAAAATTTGAGTTAAAATTAAGGCATCGTTTGGTAATCTCTTTCTTAGTCAAAAAATTAAAAAATTATTAAATTAGTCAAAAGTCAATAACTTATATCAAAAAATTAAAAAATTTCTTATCTCTTTACTTTTTGCACATCTTTCGTAAAAAGTCAAAAAATCATTCCAAACATACTAGTTTTTTTTAGCTCATATTTTAACAAAATAATCAAAAAAATTATTAAAATAACATGTTCCCAAACGAGACAGCACGAATTACTCCATTTAAAATCCTCATTGGCTACGACCTATGCAATTGGAGTCTATGAGGTTTCTGATTGAAAATTAGTAGACACACCACTAATCCAACATGCCCTCCCACCAAGGTTTGTTTTTCAATTTTTGTACTATAGGTGGTGCTAAAAGACATAAATCTCATTTGACTATGGGCACTTCTGTCTTCCTGCATTCTTTGCTTCATCGTGGTCACCTTCACTATAAATTCCCAAGCAAAACCAGTCCAAAAAATGCACTGAACAAGAAAAACCCACTTCACTATCATCATCTCACTTCTGTTATTTCTCTCTATTATGAGTCCATATAAACATTCACTTTTGTGTCTCTTTGTGGTGTTTTTTGTTTCTAAAGCTCAAGATGAGCCTCCGAGAACTTTGAAGTACTTGTTTCGATCTGTTTACTCGTTTGGGGACTCATTTGTTGATCCTGGAAACAATAATTACTTACCCAACGTTGCTAAGAGCAATTTTCCGCCTTACGGTAGAGATTTTGTGAACAAGCAGCCGACGGGGAGGTTTTCTAATGGGAAGCTCTTCCCTGATTTTGTTGGTGGGTTGTGAATTGTTTTCATGCATAATGTGTAATGTCATAGGTAGAGCTTTTGATGAAACCCACATTATTATTTTAAAGGGAAAAGATAAAGTGTATCAAAAATTTTAATTACCGAAATTATCAACTGCTCACATTTATTTGCATTTATAGATGCAAAAATCTCAAAAATTTTAATTACTGAAATTAATTGTGTTGTGAAAACACAACTTTAAGGTTATTATTTGAATTTTAAAAACAAAGTTTAATAAATAACTCTTAGTAAACAAATTCCCTTTACCCTTTCCTTCAAACTTAGTTTATTTTTAAACAAATTCCCTTTACCCTTTACTCTTAGTAAACAAATAACTCTTAGCAAACAAAGATTATTTTTTCAAATTATTACACTTGTGTCACTTTATCTTAGAAGTATCAATTGAAAATCAAACCTAAAGTTTTAAGAAAAATCAAGAAAACTAAAATTCAATCAGATACAAAATTGAAACGATCAAAATTTATATTTTAATACTTTTTTATATTCTAATTTTTTAGTATTAGAAAATAAATAAAGTAATACCACACATTTTATATAAATGTTATGCAAAAGTGAATTAATGTTAAATAGTTTTAAGAGTAGAATCCTCTTCTCGCCTTCTTTACTTGGCTTCATCCTTACAACGATCAAGATTCATCCTAAAAGAATCCAATGGCTCAGATCACCTCAAAAAAATTATATTTTAATTTTTAATTTTTTTAATAAAGCGATCTGAGCCGTTGGATTCGCTTGAAGTGAATCTCAAGCGTTGCAAGGAAGGGTGAAGTAGGAAAGGTAAGGAGAGAATCCTTATTCAGAATATGTAATGATGGTTATTTAATTAGAACACAACCCAGACCCTTATAAGATGCATCGCTATAAATGACAAATCCTTCGGTACTTGAGGTTATGGTAAGGATTGGAGCTATGGTCAATCTTGTTTTTAGTTTTTGAAAAGCTGATTCCCTTTGTTCTGTCCATACAAATGGTTTTCCTTTTTGAGTCAACTGGGTCAACAATATAACAATTTTTGAGAAATCTTTAACAAATCTCTGATAATAGCCTGCTAATTCCATAAAACTGCGGACCTCGGTCACATTAGTCGGGGAAGGCCAATCAATAATTGCTTCTATCTATTGAGGGTCAACAGAGATACCATCTTTGTCAATGACATGTCCCAAAAATGCAATCTTATCTAACCAGAATTCACACTTTTTGAATTTCCCATACAATTATTTTTCTCTAATTCTCTAAAGGGTCATTCTCAAGTGTTGTTCATGGTCATTTCTACTTTTCGAATAGATCAAAATTTCATCAATAACCACAACAATGTGTTCATCTAAAAAGGGTTTAAAAATTCTATTCATCAAATCCATGAATGCTGAGGGTGCATTTGTGACTCAAAAATGCATGACTAAAATCTCATAATCTCCGTACCTGGTTCAAAAAGTAGTCTTTTCAGTATCTTCAGCCCTTACCTTCAAGTGATGATATCTCGATCTCAAGTCAATTTTTGAAAAATCTGAGACCCCTACAACTAAACAAATAAATCGTCAATATGAGGCAACGGATATTCATTATTTATGGTTACCTTATTGAGTTCTTGAGAGTCGATACATAGACGAAGAGTACCACATTTCTTTTTCACAAAAAGGATTGGTGCACCCCACGGTGATGTACTTGGGCGAATAAACCCTTTGTTAAGCAATTCCTACAGCTGAATTTTCAATTCTTTCATTTCTATAGTAGACATGCGGTATGGAGTTTTAGATATTGGTTGTGTACCCGGTATTATATCAATAGTGAATTCAATCTCCCTATCGACTAATTATCCGGGTAACTTATCTAGAAATACATCAGAAAAGTCCCTCACCATTGGTATACTGTCTAGGGTAATTTCCATGGCTTGTTCAATTGTTGCACTACATAAATACCCTTGACAACCCTTACTAATCAATTTTTGAGCTTTCATTGTAGATATAAGATATGGTGGTGGAACTACACCCTTTCCCTCAAAGTAAAATTCATCTCATCTGGGAGGTTAGAATATCACTCGTTTTAAAGCACAATCAATGGTTGCATGGTATTTAGATAGCCAATCCATACCTAAAATAATATCAAAATGTCTTATGTCTAAAGGTATTAAATCAGCATACAAAACAACATTACTGAGTAATAATTCACTTGCAGCATATACAGATGAACATAACATAGATCCCCCCATGGGTGATTGAACACACAATATATATCTCAATGTTTCCATAGGTCTATTTAGAGTTTCAGCAAACACTATAGAAACAAATGAATGTCTAGACCCTGAATCAATTAAGACATATACAGGTTGATCACAAACAAAAATTGTACTTGACACTACTATCTCCGTGTTCTGAGTATCCCCAAGTACAATAGCAAAACCTCTTCATTGTCTCAAATCATTTTTTGTTGTGGACGGTGTTGCGGCTAGTTTCGCTATTGGAACAGACCCAGTAGAACTAGTAGCACCTCGGTTACCACCCTGACGTGGCTGTGTACAATCTTTTGCCATATGTCCGATTTTTCTACACTGATAGCAAGCCCTTGCAGTACGATAACAAACACCTTTATGCTTCTTCCCGCACACAGTGCAAGTAGGTATTGAGTTGCCACTTTGGTTTGACCCGGACTTAATGGAAGCCCCAGACTTTGACTTCTTATTTGTTGACGTTGTTCCCTTACTAAAATTTTGTCTTTTGCTTCTCTATTCAAACTTCTGATTATGGTTGGTCATGTTTGCTTCTGACATCAATGCCTTATTTAGTACATCCATATATTTGGCAATTTGAGCACATTAATCCTCTGTAGGATTGAATCACATAGGCCTCCCTTAAACTTCCTTGCCTTTCTATAGTTAGTGTCTATCATATGTGGCGCAAAAACGGGCCAATTCTGGAAATTGGGCCTCATACTCTGCAACTGACTTGTTTTCTTGCTTTAAGTATTCAAACTATGACACTTTTCTATCTCTGACACACTGAGGAAAGTACTTCTCGTAGAAGATTTCTAGGAATCGAACTTAGCTGATATCTCTATTTTCTTCATGCACTAACATCCACCAACGTTTTGCTTCATCTTCTAAGGTGAATGCAGCTAACAAGACTTTATGAGTCTCAGTACAAGGAAACACCTCAAACAGTTTTTCTATTCCAAGTACCCAGGCTTCAGCTTTAAGTGGTTCCATCCCCCCATGGAACAAGGGCAGTTTCATCATCTTGAATTCCTTAGTCAACACAATAGTACAATCACCAGTCTGATGCCTCGGCACTGGAGGTGGCATAGGCAATGGCAGTGGTGGTGGCGGTTGTTGTTGTTGCCACTATTATTGTTGTTGTTGTCTGAGGCTCTTGGCCATGTCGTGCATCATCATTTCCATCCTCTCCAACCTTTAGGATGTCGATTCCTTTAGCTCATCACCTCTTGTTCTCACCATTTTCTATATGAAACTTTGTATTATAACAAACACAATATACTCACACACTCAAATTCATATATTCAATTATGCACAAGTTATCCTACTCTAATATTCAAATGCACAAGAATGAAATCCTTAAGTCTTTCTAGACTCCCTATAGCTCAACGGTCAAGTGAGTGAGATGTAACTCATGCTTTGATACCATTCTATCAGGAACCAAACACATCCCTATAGGTTTAGTATCATGACCGGCCAGTAATCTTGAGATTACCTATGGTCTCAATAAACAAAATCAATCTCAATATAATTTACGGGGCTTAATGGAAGCAATATGAAACATAAAGATGAACCATTGAGCTATGTATACACGAAAAACCCCATGTTATACCTGTGTAAACCTTTAACATTTAGTACATAATTCAAACATCCATAGGCTTAATTTCAAGACAACCCCCAAATAACAAAGCAAAAGTACAAAATAAAAAGTGTATCACAATAGGGGTTTTGATTTGCTTGGCTCCACTCGAGCCCAAACTTACTGTAACCGGGGAGTTCTTCAAAACGGAAGACATAAAGGTAGACTCTGAGGCTTCCTCTAACCTTGGTGCTCAGTTTGCTCGCCTACATATACATATAAATAGTGAGCTAGGGCCCAGTGAGTAATAATAGAATAAAGGAGTTAAATAAATGAAGTTCGATAATATTT